AAAAAAAAAAAAAAAGAACAATAAAAACCCAGAAATTTTACTAAACTTGAAGGCAGGACGTGAAAGGATTCCCTGAGTCAGGACTTGCCAGAAGCAAGTCTAGGCTTCACGAAGGGAGGAGAACAAGTGACCGGGGAAGGCCCTGATTGGCAGGTGACCCAGCAGCAGGGCGCGCTCACCTGTGAACACGTTCTGGAAGCCATCCGCAGCCGCCGGCGCCCCAGACACCTTGGCTGCCAGTACGGGGGGCACCCCACCGCCCCCCTCTGAGGCAGCCTCGCGTTCCGGTAGGTGCGCAGAGCCCCCGGCCGGGGGCGCGCGGCTGCCTAGCTCCTCTGTCCAGTCCGCTGAGCGGCTGAGGCCGCAGGTGAGGCCGCCGTCGGCCCGGTGCTTCTTGGGCGGAGCGGCGGCGGAGACGAGGGCAGCCCTGGGCCCCCGGTTCAGGGAAGACTCCAGCCGCCTCTTAATCCTGGGGCTCTGGCTGGGAGACTGAGACGGAGAGTGATTGGGCGAGCTGAGTTGCCGGGTGGTGGTCTTGATGTAGCAGGGAGTGATAAGCGGGTAGGGCTTGAAGCAGCGTGGACTAGGCGCAGGACTGCCTGGCAGGGAGGCGGCTGCCAGGGCGCCGGGCCTGCCGGGCTCCCCCTCGGGCTCTGCCCCCGGCCTCGGGGGGTCCTCTCCCGCCTCCAGGCCCCACGCCTCCCCTGGAGAGTCTCGGGGGGCATCCTCAAAAGTGTCTTCCTCGCCTTCCTCATCAGTGTCCCCAACCCCTGGGCCGGGGCTTCTGGCCGAGCCCTCCTCCGCTGGTGAGGACTCGGGGAACCGGAAGGCCGGGGAGGAGGGCGAGTCTGCATCAGCAGGCTGGCCCACCGGCAGGCCAGGCACAGCTAAGGCTCCGGGGGGTGGAGGCTGCTCGGGCACCCCGGGCTCGGTGACCAGGCTCCGAGGCAGGTCAGACAGCGTAGACCGAGCCTGCTCCGTGTCGGGACTGCAAGGGGCCTCCCCGGCTGCGCTGCTCGTGCCCAGCAGGTACTGGTCCAGGCCCAAGAAGGCCCCGGGCTGGGGGGAGGCGGCTGTGGAGGCTGCTGCAGGCTTCTCAGGGCCCTGGAGCAGCAGCTGCTGCTGCTGCTGCTGCTGCTGCTGCTGCTGCTGCTGCTGCTGCTGCTGGCGAATCGCCTGCTGGATGTCTGAGAGCAAATCCTCTTGCTCCGTGGCCGAGTGAAAGCTATAGATGTCCGTGTCCGAGCCGGAACTGGTTCTTTGTCCATCCTGCACCCCTGCAGCAGCTTCCAAATCCCCCAAGACCACCCTGCCCCCAACCCCAACATCGGTGGGTCCAGAGCCACTTGGACGGGTTACCTCGAAAGGGTCAGCACACTCGGTATCCGACAGGCCCGTCTCGTCTGCAGAGAGGCTGAGATCTGGGGTCTTGGTGACCAGGGAGTGCGCGCTGTCCAGCTCCCCGATCTGCAAGGCCTGGGAGTCCAGCACATCCTCGCGGGAGCCGCTGGTGCCTTTCCCCTTGGACAGGTTCTTCCTGATCCGCAGGTTGGAAAACACTGAGGCTCTGGATTCCGACTTGCTCTTCTTCTTGCCTGGCTCTCCCCCGCCGCCACCTCCTCCCCCCTTGCCGTGCTTGCCCAGCGCCTTCTTGCCCCCGCTCCCCTTCTTTGTGGCTTCCACATCTCTGGGCCCGACAGCATCCTCGGCGCTGCTTCCGCCTTCGTGCAAGGCATCACCTGCGCTCCTCTTCAGCTTCCCATCCTGGTTCCCCATGTTGCGATCCCGCTGCTGAGCCGAGGCGCCTCCGGCATTCAGGCCATGCCGGCCCTCCTTGGCCCCCAGCCCGCACAGGGGGAGGCTCCCGGGACAGTCAGGCGGCCAGGCGAGCCGCTGGGAGAGGAGGCCAAATCGCGCGGGGCTGGCCCTGCTAGCATCTGCCTCCTCTTCGCACAATGCGCGCTTGCTCCCGCGGCGGCCGTGGCTGCGGCTGCAGCCGAGAGCGAGCGGGCGGCAGCCCAGAACATGCTCAGTGCTGCGCTCTGAGTCCGCCAATGGCTGCGCAGAACGCAGCCGGGGCCTGGCCCCCCAATGGCCGCCGCCCCCCCCTCCGCCCTCGCTCGGCTTCTCCCCGAAGCCGGGCGCGAAAACTGTTTGCTCAATCTCGGAGACTTTCATCTCCGCTGTGCGAATCGAATGCATTGTCCCCGTGGAAAGAGCTCGTCAGCTGGAAGATGCACATGGAACGTCAAAGCTCCGGGACCTGCCATGAAAAAAAAAAAAAAAAAAGTTAAAAAGAATTTTAAACGGTGAAAAAACCGAAGCCAAATTCCAATTGAGAGGTTCTATAATATCGAGGCCACATACACTACCCACTCCCCCCTTCAAGTGCCTGAAGAAGCACGGCTCTTCAATAAATATTTGTGGAGCGAATGGATTGTTCTTTAATAACTGATAGTCTTGAACACTGTTAATGTGCTTGAGCATATGGTTTAGGAATGGTTGCTACATATAGTGCTGCTTTTACGTTTGATGCAGACCTTGCATCTGTTTACTTGAGAGATTAGCTGCCGTTTCAAAAGTTCATTTTTTCGAATTTTTTATGACAAAATAGCAAAGTGAATTAAAAAAAAATCCTAAGAGATTAGAGTTGATTAAAATGCTAATCTCCAAAATTCTATGTATTTACCATATAAATCAAATAGCATTTGTATTCCAAAAGGGTACATATACTATAACTCCCAGGAGGTCAGACTCATCAATATTAAACATGCTCCTATTGTTGTTGCATATAAAAAGGAAAAAGACAAAAAAGGAAACACCCTTGGCACAGACACATGAATTCAGATGTTATGCTATAAACCACCGCTTCCCAAGCAAACCCTTTAAGGCAAACTTTGTCCTTGCCTTTACTATAAAAGTTTGTAACAGTTTAACAGAATTTCTTAACATTCTGGCTCCTGTATTAATAGAGAAATTTCCTCCGTTGTAAACGTTGTCACTGTTACTTAGGAAATTTAGTTACCCGTATTAAAGCATTTTTCAACATCCTGGGTATCTAACGCACCTTTAAGATTAAAGCAGCGTTAATCAATAATGTTACAATGTTATGATCATTTGAGTTACAAATTCATCCTTAAGCACTTTGAAAATACGTAGTAGCTATCCAACATGTTAGTATTCCAAGTAAGCCCAAAGGAGGAAAAAGTACATGTTATAATGACGCAATTTAAATTCGGCAAGCAAATGCTCCTTTGTATATTGTGAACTACATTTTAAACCTCTCTCTTTAACCATTTTTATGTTTTAAAAAATGGTCGTATGAGTCTTCGATATAAAAGTACTCCATTGCAATAAGTAGGAGCCTTTTTCAAATTATATTCTTAAAAACAGAGGATTTAAAGTCAGGCAGCCAGTCATTTTAGGTGGCCTTTTAGAGTAAATGCTTTGGAGAAATCACCTTCAATAATAACTCTGCCAGGGTAACAGCCCTGTCTTGGAGAGGTTCTGGAGTACTTGAAAACCCTTTGTTTCCCCTTTCACAAAACTGCTCTTTTCTAGAATGCAGACTCCTCAGAGGGCACAGTTTGCCTAAGGCTAATAGAATTTGCTGCCTCTTTGAACACTGAGGTACTATGGGTTTTGATTTTTGCTCTTTCTTTAACAAGACATCTTTGACTCCAAACTATTTTGAGTTTTTTATTTGTTGGTTTTCGTTTCTTTTTACTTTCTTTGTTTACTTTTACTTTCTTTACTATTTACTTCTGAGATATATTTAAGTTCCAGAAATTAAAAAAAAAAAAAAAAAAAAAAAAAAAAAAAAAAAAAAAAGGAGAGAAGAAGGCAAGGAGGGAGGACAGAAGAGAGAAGAGACAAGACTGCTGATGTTTTCACATCCTTTGAATGTGAAACAATATATGACAGCTGTGTGCAGGTCACAGGTGACAAAGCTCTACTACATGCAAAGGCTTGTTGGAAAATCACAAGTGTGGGCACCAAATGTAGGTAGGTACTCTCAATCCAATTTAAACTTAATGAATAAGTTCAGGCTGAGATTTGTCTAAGGTCCCATAGCAGCAAAGGCATTCCTTGAACCTACAGATTTAGGTTCCTAATTCTTTATAACAAACAACACTACACAGTTTATTATTTCATGGGCTGGTAAGAGCATCATGAAGGCGAACAGTATTTAGAGGTCCCAAAGATGCCTGGGGCATGGCCTAAGCTTAACTCCATTTGATGAAGAAATGATATCATATCTCTAGTTGCAAAAAAACACATTTAACAAATAGAGATCCTACCTTGTGCCTGGCCAAACACTAGGTACCAGGACACAGGAAACAAAACAAAACAAAACAAAACAAAACAAAACAAAACAAAAACCAGGTGTGGCTAGCCTGTATATTCAAGAATCTAATCTAGAATAATTGTTGGTAAAAAAAAAAAATCTTTAGTATTAGCATCCCAAACAGGTCACCAAAAATGTATATGAAATTAGTTGCTGCCCACTTTCCAACATTTCCAAAATGTTGCTATAACATTTTCCAACTGTTGAACTCCAGTTCATAATATGCAGATGTGAATGTGGGATAAATGTACTAAACTCTGCAACTTACTCAAAAATGCATCAAAAAATTGAGATGCTTTAATGGATGGAGATATGGACAGGTAACGTAATAAAGCAGGTATATTTAAATTTTAATTGTATAATTTAAGTGAGGGATATATGCTGTTGCTGTAAAATTATTTCCACTCTTCTGTATGTTTGAAATTTTGAAATGTGGTATAAGGGAGTTACAAGAATGTTGTATTTCCCAGCTTTTTTGAAATTAAAATCATATAAAGGTTTATGGCACTCAATTAACAGTAAGTGAATAATCGGTCCTCCTCTCTTCACTTTTACCTGTTTGTCTGAATTATATATGTCATTTCTTCTTCTCTTTTCTTTTAGCTCTCCTCCTGTTTCATTGCTCTCTCAATTCAGTATCTCTCCATAATGAAATGTTTGATATGTGTCTTTAGTTTTCACTATGCTTCACCTTGATGAATGTTTGAGACTCTCTAGCAAAACAATCAGATTGGATGCTAATTATCCAACTCACTCTTTTCTCCAGCAGGTGAGTGACCTTTTCTTCAAAGACAACTCTGTCCTGATATCAACTACTAAGACTTGGCCTCTTCCATCCACCTCTCAGTCCTGACTTTACTCCTATACTACAGACTACTGGACCCACTTTCTAGAGAACAGTTGCACTGCCATGCCCCCAGTCCAACCCACCATATCTGAAATGGGACTCATGTGCTCTTGCATATTCATTCTCTTTGGGGGGTTTTTTGTTTTTTAATTTTTTTTAACATTTATTTATTTTTCGAGAGACAGAGCATGAGCAGGGGAGGGGGAGAGAGAGAGAGGGAGACACAGAATCTGAAGCAGGCTCCAGGCTCTGAGCTGTTTGCTAGCACAGAGCCCGATGCTGGGCTCGAACTCACGAACTGCGAGATCATGACCTGAGCCGAAGTTGGACATTCAACCTACTGAGCCACCCAGGCACCCCTGTTTGTTTGTTTTTTGTTTTGGGTTTTTTTGTTGTTGTTGTTCAGTAAAAGCACCACAATCTCTCCAGTTGCCCAAACCCAGCTTGTTGCTAATTCCTGTCTCTCCCTTAGTCCACACAATTTAGCAATCCCAGAGATTTCTCTATTCTTCCTCCTTATGTCTCTTACATCCACTCATCTGTTTGATCCCAACTGCCACTTCCCTTGTCTTTCTCCTACCCCCACCTCCAACTCCCATCTGTTCTTTCTTGCTATTATCAATGCTTCTCAAATGGGGAGACAATTTTGCTCCCCAGGGAACATTTGGCCCTGTCTGGAGACATTTTGGGTTTTCATAATGGTCGGGATGCTGCTAGCACCAATGATGCTGCTAAACAAAATGCAGAGGACAGCATCCTCCCTTCAACCCAAAATGCCAATTATGCTGTCGTTGAGCACCTGCTTTATCATGAAGCCTCTCGCCAGTGCTGGAGTCAATAAATGTGAATGAATGAGTAAAAGAATGGAAATTATTATTATTTTGAAAAGTATTTCTCAGTTAAGGCAAATCAAAAACTTGAAAAGAGAACCTAACAGGACAAATAAGACTTTAACTACTGTTAACTATAGTACCAGTATCTTAAATGGAGAATTAACTCTTCCCTGAGACATTCATATTCTATGAAATAATGTGTCTACATAAATATTCCTATTGTTCACATACTTGCTGACATTATAAAAAGCCCTTATTCCTACCAGAAAATTTCAAGATGGAATCCCCAGAGCTCTTTTACAGAAATCATTATATGGGTCAGACCTCTTTTACAGAAATCATTATATGGATCACAAACAAGAATTATGTAGCTTTCGATTTTTACCATCCTCTTTCATGTTATCACCAATGCAGTGCTTGGAAATTAAGTGCTTACAAAACTGAGAACAAGTCAAACATTACTTTGCCCAAGCAATACAGAATGCACTACAACTATTCGGAATTTGCCTATAGAAAGCCCACTTTAAGTCCATAATTTACCTTGTTCAGTGACAAGAAGTCGCAAAAAGCATTCTAAAGACAGAGCCAATAAGGAATTAAGATTGAGACAGCGGATCCTTGGCCTGGAGAGAAATGCTGTCCAACAGAAATGTAATGCAAGCCTCAATGGTAACATAAATACTCTAGTATCCACATTAAAAGGGCTAAAAGAAACAGATGAAAATAATTTGAAGAATAATTATGTAAC